GGTAATAATGTTGGAAGTGGTTTTTGTTATGGAAAGAAAAATAACATGTGCACTGGTATAATAATATACCGGTACTTTGTAAAATGTTGTTTGTAATTCATTTATTACATATAATTTGTATTTCTTCTTGTTGAAAATGGAATTAAAACGTTGAATCTTGAATTTGTTTGTGTCTACCTGCTTTATATCATCAGCTGAAGAATTCATTGTCTGACATTGTAATGTTTTTGTCGTAGATGGCGCTGGACTCCGATAGATCGATGTCGATGAGAGTGCCCACCGGAGTGTTGGCTCAGTCAGTAGAGCGTCCGCCTCACAACCGGGAGGTCTTGGGTTCGAACCCCGGCCGCGTCATACCAAAAGACGTTAAAAAAGATGGGAGTTGTTGCTACCTTGTTTGGCGTTCAACAATAAGGGATAGAGCAACGTCGATCTGGCGTTGCTCAGTGGCTGCCGGGCTCACGATCAATTGGGCAAAAAGAATTTCCGTTTCGGTTTAATAAAATTTGGAGTGGACTATTATTATTATTATTATTATTATTATTATTATTATTATTATTATGATGAAACAAGGATATAGAGAGAGAATAAATTGATAAGTTCCATAATAGGTCATATTTGTAAACATTGTGACAGTTCATTCCTTCTATTATCATTTTTACAGGTAATCGAACACTTTTAGTAGCATTTGAGTATTTTAAATATTAATCGGTAGTCATGCACAGTATCTGGTTTCCTTTTGTACAGATGAATTTGTTTTCATTTTAGTTTTATTTCACTAATTTGTGTATTCCATTCTTAAAGCTTATCTGCCATAGTTTACAGGAGGGATTAGAGCGCCCTGCAAGGTCACTGGACAGGTGGTTATCTCATCAACTCAGCTCTCAATTAACATAAGAAAAAGAGGATCATGGGGGACCAATGGTCACCGATTAGGCATTGTTTGTTATATAGAGGGCGCAAGTAGCTACAAGTAGTGCAGTGGGCCTTTAAGTTATTCGGTTGCGCTGAAGGAAAATATGTTGGTATCTTCGACCATTATTTGAATGAGACTGAAAATGTGGACTTGCTCTGGCTACCAATCCAGCATCCACTTTTCCTCTTTCCCCAAATTTCTTGTTCGTATCTCTCAGTTTTGTCGTTTTATTTCCATTCATGTTTTGTTATAGAATATTGCTATACCAATATATATATACACGAAGGTACTCGAAAAAGAAAATAACTTCCCACTATTGAAATACATATAAAATAGAGAATATAATATGATTCAACACCATGTCTCTATCATAATTTAATTTGCCTTTTATTGTTTGATCTATTCAATTCTCTCACCCCTTTCCATCTCTTTCTCAGGGCTTTATTCTTCGATATATTATTGTCATTCAGTTATTTTCACTCTTCATTCTTCTATCAATCTTTGCTTTAGCTACACTCTCGTTCATCTTCCATTCACAACAAGACCTAATATGCAAGAAAATCAGGCTCATAATTACCATTTTTGTTACGTTGTATGTTTTGATGACACAATTTATTTCATATTCACATTTTTCAGAAGGAAAAAAACACATAAAAAGACATCAAAATACATCAAACTGAGTCAAGGCAAAATATTTTTCGACGTTAAACGTATGTAATCTCTGTTTGACATGTGTCATTTGAAATAAACTCTAATCAATAGATCTTGATGGTATTTTGTTCAAGCATGTTTAAAATTATCATTTAAATGTCTTTCACTAATAAACTTTTGTATCTTTTATTAATAAATTTCTTAATATTTTTTTGGCTATTGTATTTCTGATCATAATGAAAGCAATCATGAACAGCTAAACATTTATTCTTAATCAAACTGTTGTTTTTTCTTTGTCAATCTTCCGATAGAAAATCATTGGCACATTACATTTTTTGAATAAATAAGGTTATTTCAGCAAACTGTTCCAAAAAGCATATTTTATCAAATTGTATGGACTGCTCAGATATTGAGCGTATTCGTGACAGTGCTACCATGTCACTCTAATCTTGATTTAGAATCAAGAGACAAAAATATGAGAAAAATGACACTGCACATAATACCAATGCAATATTTGGATTAAAAGTATGATAAAGGGGAATATAGTCGACATAAATGTTGCTGTCTGGGAGAAGAGTTGAAAAGAGAACTGAGAATAAAGGAAAGACAAGACAATCCAGAGAGAAAGGGAGTGAGCGATAGGGGGAAAAGAGAGAGAGAGGAGTAAGGATGAAGAGAGAGAGAGAGAGAGAGAGAGAGAGGGACAGAGAGAGAGGAAGAGAGAGAGAGAGAGAGAGAGAACAAAAGAGTGAATTCAGAGAATTATAAAGCAATACATGAAGAGAATAAAGAAACATAAACAACGACAAAATGAAGCAGATTTGGCTGATTAAGGAGTAGAACGAGAAGAAATAGATCACAATAAAAGAGGAATATAAAACTTAACCCTAAAATAACGTATAACATCAATTCACAACAACATCATCGTCAATACCGCTCACAGTCGACAATTGTAGAGCGCTCTCTACGATGACTCTATGAATATACATTCTGCTAGGTGACTGTTGGGTGAACTGTGTGTATTTCTAATATTTACTTTAAAACGATTTGCTAGTCCCACTGACTCCTTACACATGTGACTGCTTACACAAAGGGCACAGTTTGACCATGAATAGACATAAGTATGAAATACTGAATAAAAACATGATATTGACCGTGGTAAATTTCCACTTGGTCTAATCCCAAATCGTCCAGCACACTACTGTCTTTTATCAACCGGTGAGTTTGACTATTGGCATTGCCCATTTCGTCCACTATCTACCAGGTATTTGGTCTAATGACAGAGCTATACAAGGTGGCTTGTCACAGAACCTGATCTAAAGCAATAGCCAGTAGAGTATAAATTGGTTTTACTGATGATAAAAACAAATGAATGATGAATAAAAATGAGCGTAAGCGATCGAATATTAGACCAAATGGCAATACACCCCGTTCCTTATAAGCCCTAGGAAGTACATGTATATCAGAGGCACATCAAACATGGTTAATTAAAGCAAATTCAAGGACATAACAGTTTTCTCAGCGTTAACATTATATTCTAATACTTCTAAATCTGTAAAAAGGTGCGACCATGCATATAAGCCACATCTAAATCAGCTACAATATGAGCAATTGATCGCTCTACCTTGGTCATGAAAATTAGCATATTTTTGGATATTTAAAAAGGTCGACATATTATTTAGTACGATTCATAAGGTAAAATATAATATCTAAATTATAGAGAAATCGCTCTGAAGACATATACAGCACTTTCCTTCTATTACAGTTCTTCATTAAAGTTCAATTTCACATACTAAAATACATTGCTGAAACAGTTTAACATTATGTCATTTGCGTTAATTAAAGTCACAATCTAATCTACCAATCTACCAACTATAACTGTGTAAAGTATGTGTTCACAAAAGAGTGCAATTTCGTCAAACAGGACAGGGACACAACGCAAAAATAGTCTTTTTTTGTACAAATTTAAAATTTACAAAAACAATAAATTCATAAATTCATTTCATAAAGCACATACTTGAAACAATGTAACCATACATTGGTGAATTCAGTTGACATGATATAATTTTTTAAATATGACATAAAGCAATGTTTATGTTTATGCCTACTGCCAATTAATTTGTGTACTAACAGGCATAGGCCTATACGTAATCTAATAAGATCCGTCGTTAGAATTACACTAAACACATAGGAAAGAGCACAAAGAGCTTTATTCAGAATGAAAGCATTATAAATATTAATTTTGAAACAATTTTGTTTGTTCATTCCTCGAAAAAATGATGAATTCGCATTATCAAAACTCATATTGATGAAAATTAGAATGGAACTGAGTATGTGGAAATGAAAAAACGAACAACAACTAACGATGAAGAGATTTCAACCAATTTGTTTGTGTATAATAAAAGGGCATTGTTATTTCGCATGAATGCTGATTTCTCCTGGCGCGTAAAATATGTTTCTGAAAGTCATTTTAGCATATTTTGGTCGGAAATAAAATGTAAACACCATCCGCTATACACGGGACTGTGCCAAATCTAGCATGGTCTCGTGCTAGCAGAAACGGAAGCGAGTCAGCACATTGTACATTGAAATGTATGATAAACAGCTCAAAAATCCAAAGCTCCACGCATTAACTCATTGTATTATGCATTATCATATACTTTGATGATAAGATAGCGATTATCATGCGTTCAATAGGAGTTATCATTAGGCCTAATAACTCCTTATTTGAACATTGAATAAATATCTCGTGTTTACACATCACGTTCACAACATTTCGCACGAAAAACAATTGTTATAAGGTCTTCCTCATAAATACATTCAGACATGGCAATTATAAAAAAAAAAACGCCTTGCTCTATAAAAGGACAGCTTAGTTTCATTAATATCATTATTCATTCCTCTAATAATCACAGATATTGATTACCAATGTCCAGTTTGTTCGAAGGGGAAGATAAACATTGAATGCAGACGGCTTATTATAAGGCTTTGTTCCTCGCAGGATTAAAACATTGTGAGTTCCAATCGGATACTAATGATGTCAAATAAAAACAATTACAACCTCTCTTTGGCACGAAGAGAGAACATTACAAGGACTATTCTATCTATTTGATATCCCTCGACCTAAATTTAGGGGTAGCAGTTGCAATAACACCCTTTTACAATAAGGGAGGGGAGTTGTCAAACCAAAATTTGATGCGAGCATTAAAGGGATATATCTATGTTTTACAACAATTATTATGTGCAGAAATTGCATCAAAAACATTATACCCATTGTAAACGAGGTGTCATTTTGAATGCGTAATAACATATGCAATGTGCAATATGCTGATCGAGCCCGTGAAGGCAATTACCGTAGTAGTAAGTTATTCAACGTTATGTTCAAACTGTTTATTATGTGCATTTATGTGTGTACAATGTGACTTTAACCGAGCCAGTCTTTAACGCAATGTTGCTCTAACCGCGCGCGTCAAAGACCAGCCAGTCGTTGACGCAATGCTACTCTAACCGCGCGCGTCAAATACCCAGCCAGTCTTTGACGCAATGTTACTCTAACCGCGCGCGTCAAAGACCAGCCAGTCGTTGACGCAATGTTACTCTAACCGCGCGCGTCAAATACCAGCCAGTCTTTGACGCAATGTTACGTCAGCCAAATAACACATCGTGTGCAACGAGCATACAGTTTTGATTTGTGTAATTACACATGTCACCTAGCTGTCCTAGGACATAATCAATGAAATACTGACTAGAAATCACTTAACTCCAATTTCACAAAAAGTCGTTTCTCGGTATTTCCCTCTTGTAAATAAATAATAGGCCTCAAATACATGGACATGCTTTGGAGAGAAAAATCTTGATCGCCAAAATGTAACGTAAAGAGTTAAGTCTGCAGCAGGGAACTATTCACTAAAACTTGCACTTAAAAATATACTTGGCAGTGAAACAATAATAAGTCAAAACACTAGAAGGCCACCAATTTCATAAGATTAAAATCACAAAGTGTATGAAAGAAATGCAGATACTGTAATGACTTAAATACGAATACATTTTCAGATTATGATGACGAGTTCATGTTGACGAAATATATACAGTCGTTACTTCCATTTACGAACGCGCAATCTTAGCATAGCAGACGACACGCGGAAAATATCGATATTGACATTCCCTTTCGTCCATCAGATAAAAGATATCGATATATCCACTCTTCCTCTCAATATCGCAAATGGTTCATGTGGCTGATCGATGAAGAGCTGTTGACTCCATCTTGTACGACACCTATAAACCTTTAAATAAGTGAAGTGGTTCAATTTACAGTGGATAAAATATGATAGGTTTTGGTGTTCGAATGCCACTCTTCACTGGAGCGCCCTCTACGGTGTCTAACACCGCCACGTGAACGTTATCTAGAGAGCGTCTCGACAATGGCTCATAAGTGTTCATCCACGGCCTCTGCAGAAACACTTGGTCCTGTCCTTACCGTCAATCCTACAACACAGGAAGGGTGCCAAGGGCGATACACAGTGGCTGCGACCAGAGTTCGTCTCTCCCTGCGGATTAATAGCACACGTTTGATCCGTCATGTTCATCCTTCAGCCTCTTGTAATAAGTGGTGCGTTCAGGTTTCTGAGAAGAAACTCTCTTCTTCAAACGTCACAAGTCCGTTTTGTCTTGACACTTTTACTTCTGTATGCAAGGGTCTCCTTGCCGACTCCACTGACGTAAACGTCAAAAATGTACTTAGTGCCTGCCTTCAGGTCGGTAACCACTTCTGTTAAAGCGTCTCTGTCTGCTTCTGCACCATTAACTGAGCGGCATAATACCTTCTCGCTCTTTTTACGATTCTTAGGCCCGTGACAACGGTTGTCTTGCCTGATCAGGCTTCTGCTTTTGGGATCTTCCTCCCGCATATACAAACAATATTGTGAAACCTCTTTTGTGCTTAACCATGCCAGCGTAACTGACGTACACTGTCTTAAGTTTTTGAAAACTCTTATCGTGCTGTCTTTTGGGAGCTGCGGGAAAGGGTACTTTGATGGATTCGTTGTCGCAAATATTTTATAATCCGTCGGTGTCCGCCGCCTGCTTTTGACTTTAATGAGAAGTTCATCTTCGACATTACGTATGCTGAAATGTTTGAGAGATTTGACGGTAGCGTCTCGGATCTTCACTCCTTCTCTCCAAATCTCTACCGCAAGTTTCTGCGAACACGACTGAATAGTGATGTTGACGTCTTGGTCCCGTGATTTGCCGCTTACTGGGAATCTAAACTGCTTGACTGGGCTCGATCGGTCTCCCCTGATCGTTCTGAGTCCACCATCTTTCAATCGAATGACCCTTCGATCAGGAGGTTCAGCACGGGTATAGATGGACGTCCCGAGGTAGGCAACGCTGCGGTTAGTGACTTGATCTACTGCGAAAAGATCAAAGAAATATCTGGTGCCTGGGTCTAGGTTGGTGATCGTATGCAGGGTCTTTGAACCAACACATTCAATAACCATATCTGGTGCTTCTTCAGATCTGCTCAGAACCGCTTGTTCATCCTGGATTTGCTTCCTAGCTTTACGCATTTCTCTCTCCGAATCAAAGCCGAACCTCGTTTGGGAGGACGGGAATGGGTTAGAGCCCCCGCCCGGAACACTGGATTGAACACCACACCATGTGTGGTAGTTCCGTCTAGTGTTGATCGCGAGACAGTACCGAACTGGTTGATGATACACCACATCAGAAGGACTCGGCTTCCACGCTAACGACACTCGGTTCTTATTGAATGACGTCACATCGACTTGAGGATCACTTGGGAGCTCGGGGAAGAAATGATCCGAATCGGGCGTCGATGTCGCGTAGATCTGAAAGGTAGTCCCACGCTCGACGCTCCGCACCTCTAAGACATAGGTGCAAGCTGGAGATGTGTTGGTAATATATTTCCCCGCGTCATAACCTGAATAGCTCTTCAGGATTGTCCCAGGCATCGTAGTGGGCTGCCGTCGAGGGCGTTGTTCACTCAACTGATCAGCCGCACCTGAAAGAAAATGGAAAATGAACAATTGGATTAATAACCCTTCAGGCAACTTCGTACACAAGTTTCAATAAGAAAATTAGGGAAATTCAAAGTGGGCATCCTAATCGATAATGAAGTTCTATATTTCTAGATACATGTAATTATCTGAACACTTCTAATCATTCTAATCATTTATATCAAAATATAGTTAATATTATACTGATTCAAAGCACAATGAGAAGCAATCTCAAACATGAAGGCATTTTAATGTTTTTCTTAAATTACATACATGATTAGTAGTTGGGTGTTGCCTGAAATAACTGTCAGGGTCATTATTTTGCTAGGGACACCAACGACCAGTGTGTACTTTCCAGGATTCTCCAAAAATCATTAATACATCAACAACATTCAATAGCATGTGAAATGCCGGTGTGATGTTAAACCTGTTCGATGATGATGATGATGATGATAATGGTGATGATGATGAAGAGGAAGAAAAAGGACAATAAGTATGCAGAAAAGGAGGAAGAAGGGTGAATGAGAAAGAGAGTGAGAGAGACAGACAGACAGAGAGAGAGGACTACTTACTGGACCCACTGCCATCTTCAGGAAGCTCTAACATAGATAGATTCCATTCGATCCTTGCCGAGCAGGGTGTCACCATGATCCGCACTGGAGTGTTGTCTTCTTCAACAGTAAAGAAAAACCTGAACACAAAAGAGAAAGAATTGTTTAGATATTAAGTTAAACATACATATGCATGCTAATTTTGTTTAATAAATAAAACAGTAGCGCTCTTCCAGTTTATACAAGGAACTAAAAGCGGCAGTGGTTTTATTACCCAATTCGTTGGATTAAATGTCCTACATAATCACATGTACTGTGCCTGCTATTTTCATGGGGGTGCATTCCATAGAAATATAGGTGCCCACATCCAACCCCCCCCCCCAAAAAAAGGTTCGAAATATCTGTTTTGTACACCTGGGTTGAAAGAGGCTATGTCGATGAAATGCCTTCCATAACGACATGCGTGCCGTGTCCAAGATCAGGATGGAGGCCCTTTCAATCGTACGCAAAGTGTTCAAAAATAGTTCAAACCATTTCACTAGGAACCCCCACCACTTTGTTAACCATTATTAACTATTATTTCCCAGTAGAATGTATCAAGTTCAGTCTGAATGGTGCTAAAAAAGCGGTTTTAACCAGAATCAGTGTACGAGACAAACAGCAACAAATAATATTAGCTGTTCATATATTGCTCCCCCTATCATGTCTAGGGTACCCCACTTGGAGCTGAGAGAGATCATCATTTCGTGCTAAAAACCATTTTGGATCTTTGCCAGGTTGGCGGCGATTAGCATGGCCAGAAGAAAAAATAATGTGAGAAATGGGACAATATGATATCATAGAAAATATGATGGAAAGATGGTGAAGGGGAATAGTTCAAGGTTTGAAAAATAAAGGAAGAAACGAGACAACATGAAAAGGAGATATACCTGGATAGTGTATCGATTAGGAGAGAGCATTAGAGAAAAAGTGGATAAGAGAGGTTGGTCTATACATGTACATGATATTCTTTTCGAGCAGTTTTGATATGCACATACTTATGGGTGAAATAACAAGGATTGCGAAAAATTATGAAGAAATGATTTTCATGAGAAGGTTCTTTAGAAATTAAACGAAAGTCGAAAAGGAACTGTCATCAAACAAGGTAGGATCACACATTAATCAAAGTGAGAGGTTTATTTGAAAAGCAAGAGAGCTTTATGTTGGACAAATTGAGTGTGTGCGTATATCTAATGTGTGGGTGTGTGCGTGCGCGTGTGCTCATCTTCATCGTAAATCTGACCGCAATGAGCTGACCTTAACGGCTTCGAGTTCATCAGCAGTGTAAGCATTACAACAACGACTGTTTAATGGGATGGCAATTTTTTGAAGGATTGATATTGTTATAAGCCCCAAGAAAAATAAACGGTATCTGTGGCTGCAGCTCAAGAGACACACGCGAGAAGGTTGACTGGAGTTTGTTATGTCTTCTAAGCATAATGTTGGTCTCTTTTTACAAGCATCAAGACAGTCCTGGAGATAGATGGAAATATGAGTAGGTCTCTTTTTATAAAGGGGCATGGGTGCATGGGGCGAGGGATGAACGGCGGCAGTGCAGACAAGTCTAGTCACCTATTGTGTTTTTGATGAGACTCACTGTGCAATGTTACTGCGTAAAGTGGCGCCAGTTCGCATTTGCTATTAATTAATAAGAGAGTTCGAGTAGAGCACTTACACGTTTGACATTCTTCCTCGGGAAAAGAAGCTTTGTCACATGCATATAAGTTCTTATATTTTGATTTTTGTCTGTGTACGGTATGGCATTTTAACATTCAAAGGCAGGATATCAATTAGAGAAGAAAAAATCTGTAATAAGTATGACGAATTAACATAGCATATTGTATAGACGACGCGATAGCTCAGTCGGTAGAGCAGTGGACTCGTAATCCGGTGACCCGGGTTCGAAGCCAAGGCGATGCGCTAGTGCATACTCTTTGGCAAGGCATTAATCCTCACTACCAGGTCCCTCGGAGAGGACCTAAAGCCGTGCTTACTGCTAAATGCTTACTTACAAGCATTTATGCTTTCTTAGCAGTCAGGTAAAATAACCATCACATTGATTGATAGACGACACCTATCAAAACAACTAGTAGTTAATTTCTTTCATGATTGATAATTTATTGTTGACTTACTTTTTGGTGGTACCCTGCGCTGCATAAGCCGTCATCTCCCTGCCGTCTGGAAGGAGACCATTCTCATAGAAGAGCTCTGGATGACGGCCCGCGTGTTCTCCAGGGTTGTTGCCAGGGAGCCGTTGCGATGGTGATAGTTTGGCTCGAGACACCAGGAGGAGGAGAGGGAGGAAGAAGGTCAACGGTGGCTTGAAAAGCGAGTTCATGACGGCTGCGCAGAGGACAGAGATCAGGGCTAGTACCAGTCTGCAAAGGAGGTTACAAATAAAATTAAAGAAAGATGAATAGGAATAATTGTGAAATGGATTCATGTAAACTGTCATGAAAGGCACATAGAAAAAACTCTCAATTCACTTCATATCACTCTACGATTATAATGTAAATAGAATTTTTTTATTATCCTTTTACATCATACATTCCATGAAATTCAGCTACAAATCTCAATTAATTTCAGTACATAACTTTATGAAAGAATAAGGGATAAACCAAGTTAGATTTTGATTAATGATTACTTCCTGAAAAGTTACCGATAATGATGGCGTCCAAAAATTTGTTTCAAATGGCTGCCAGTGTTACTATGGTTACAGGTCATGATGTTTTAAAGATCGTCATACCATTCGGGCTTTTTTGGTTTAAGGTTCAATTCATCATTCGTCGTTGCTTTCATCATCTTTGATGAGATAATGAAATAGCATCTTAATACGGGGATGGGAAGGATAAAAGTATGAAAAGAAACAATGATGCTTTCTCCTCTGTGAGAGGAGGAGGAGGAGGAGGAGGAGGAGAGGAGGATGGGGGTAAAAGCAGAGTCATGCTTAGGAGATTCAACGAGTAAATAAACAGGCTACACGTATAAGCTCTTCGGATTACAAATCACATCAATTCACGCTTCTCACATAGAGGTCGAATAACAGAGCCCCCTGTAGGTTGAAATCGAATCCATCAGAATACTAAATGAGATAAGCATGGAAACCAAGTCGAGTAACCAAAGAAACATGTTCTATATTACATTATTGATGAAGTGATACAATGTGGTTTTTAGAGAAGCCCGACTATCTATCAGCACGCCGTGTTTGGACGTGACAAAACCCATCGTACTCAACTCAAGACGTGATAATTAATTCAACTCGAGTGTAAAACTGCACCGAAAGCGCTTTCTCAAGATAGCTTGACTCATCGAGTAGGATACTGCGTGAAAGATGGAGAGAGAAAGAGGGAGAGGGAAAGGGAGGATGTATGTGTGTGCGTGCGCGTTTGTGTGTTGTTAAGAGATAAAAAGAGATGGAGAGAGAGAAAGACAAAGTAAGAGTGAGTTTGTGTGTATGTGTAAAAGGAAAAGAGAAAGGGAAAGGGAAAAAGAGAAAGTGTGTGTGCGAAAAAGAGAGAGAGAAAGATGGAGATAGAGAGAGAGAGATAGTGAGAGTGGGTGTGTGTGTGTGTGTGTGTGTGTGTGAAAGGGAGAGGTAAAGATAACGTTTGTGTGCGTGTGTGTATGTGTGGGTGTGTGTGTGTAAGAGAGAAAGAGAAAAGGAGAGAGAAAGAGAGAGAGAGAGAGAGAGAAAGAGAGAAAAAAAAGAGATAATGAGACACAGGTTTATAGAAAAGGTGAATGAATTAGCATGAAAAGAAAAATAAGATGAATAGAATATAAATAACAGACTATATGCTGCTGGTGGCAGAGAGAAAGAGAGAGAGAGAGAGGCGAACGAAATAAATAAGGAAATTAATAAAGAACAAAAAGGTCGTTGTCGATCATTGCAATTCGCATTTGGGGATATAAAATAAAAGGCTAAAAAAGAATATGAAAAGACGAGAATTCTGAAAAGCAGGTCTCTGAGATAGGGAGACCCCCATACCATTCCTAAATCTAGAGCCTCGCATAAAATGGCGGTCAACATGAAGATAGCAAATAGAAGGCGCCAATAGCAAGCTAATCCACCATACTAGCTTTTAAAATGCAGAATAGATTCCGTAAAGAGCGATACCCAATAATACTTATCTCGTGGTCACAAGAACACGATGCATCATGCCTTTCTCATTCTATCTTATCATGTCTATATATAGGTCATTGACCGGACTCTCAGAAAAATCCGCTCTCCTTTGCTTTTACATTTTTTTTTATATCTCGTTTAAAATAAAAATGAGGCTACACGAGGGTTGGCAGTGCAGACAAGTCTAGTCACCTATTGTGTTTTTGATGAGACTCACTGTGCAATGTTACTGCGTAAAGTGGCGCCAGTTCGCATTTGCTATTAATTGATAAGAGAGTTCGAGTAGAGCACTTACACGTTTGACATTCTTCCTCGGGAAAAGAAGCTTTGTCACATGCATATAAGTTCTTATATTTTAGTTTTTGTCTGTGTACGGTATGGCATTTTAACATTCAAAGGCAGGATATCAATTAGAGAAGAAAAAATCTGTAATAAGTATGACGAATTAACATAGCATTTTGTATAGACGACGCGATAGCTCAGTCGGTAGAGCAGTGGACTCGTAATCCGGTGACCCGGGTTCGAAGCCAAGGCGATGCGCTAGTGCATACCCTTTGGCAAGGCATTAATCCTCACTACCAGGTCCCTCGGAGAGGACCTAAAGCCGTGCTTACTGCTAAATGCTTACTTACAAGCATTTATGCTTTCTTAGCAGTCAGGTAAAATAACCATCACATTGATTGATAGACGACACCTATCAAAACAACTAGTAGTTAATTTCTTTCATGATTGATAATTTATTGTTGACTTACTTTTTGGTGGTACCCTGCGCTGCATAAGCCGTCATCTAATCCACCATAATCCACCTAATCCACCATAATAGCTTTTAAAATGCAGAATAGATTCCGTAAAGAGCGATACCCAATAATACTTATCTCGTGGTCACAAGAACACGATGCATCATGCCTTTCTCATTCTATCTTATCATGTCTATATATAGGTCATTGACCGGACTCTCAGAAAAATCCGCTCTCCTTTGCTTTTCCATTTTTTTTTATATCTCGTTTAAAATAAAAATGAGGCTACACGAGGGTTGAAATGAAATGCAGGTCAAAGCAGGATAAACTTCATTAAATGCACTTGTCTCATTATCCAAATATGGTGATAGAGAATAGGAAATAAAGATGATAATCGCGTGAGTTATTCACTTATCTAAGATCCGAATCCGATAAAATTACTCTCAAGGAGGAGATACACGAATCACGTGAGAGTTTTGAAATGATGAATGCCCTCATCCCACCCCTCACTGATGATTTTGAACTTCACAGAACTCGGACTAAAGATGTTTGTAAGCGAAGCTCGGAATGATACAGCGTAGCTTCCGTAATCATCCGCAGGTGAGTAACAAATGCAACATTGACCTCCAAAACATCACATGTTCACTTTGTCTTTGTAATAAAGATTTAGGATTTGTCATGGGGACAATACACTTCATCTTGGTACGCCTAGCTTGTCTACCGTGTAACAAACTTCACGCGCAAAGGGAGGCTTAATAAGTTTCGCCATAATGCGTTCATCCGACTCAAAGGGAATTAAGAAGTCGAAACTAAAACCCACGAATCATATCCGAATTCGTGAGTGATAAAGACATCATTATAACATTCATAAAAATCCCGATAGAGGATCTGTGCTTCAAGCATTTTATTTTAAATTGGATAGTGAGAGATGGAAGTGCATAGAGGTTCAGTCTGTCCTGAAAATGTCACATGTTATTGAATAGATACCACTTCTAACAGCAACAGCAGTAGTAACGGTAGCAGCAACAGTAGTAATATAGTAGAAATGGCATTAGAAGTAGTATATTAGCAATAATAGAAGAATTGTATAGTAGTAATATCAATAATAATGGTGGTAGATATGAAGTAATATGGTAAATAGTAGAAGTAGTAGTAGTGGCGGTTATCGTAGTAGTCCAAAAATTATCATGGATTTTTGTGATGGGAGGCCTTTTATAAAATGCCCTGTATTGCTGTAAAAAGTCAACCAAATAAACTGATTGACATCATGATGGAGAACTCTTTAAATGATCTCAGTTATTCGGGGAAGAATCATTTCCAAATTCGAATTACTCTGACATGATCTCGTGTTATCACACTAAACGTCAATTCTTTAGTTTTTATGTTTCATTATTTCGTTACTTCAATGTGTGATGTTCAAGTTCGTTCATTCATTTCATTTTCATAAAAAACACAGCAAATGCAAATACACATACAAGTATATATACATACAAAGAATGTTCAGTTAATAAAATGGTTTCAAATGGAATGGGAGAACAAAGGAAAAGCCTATGGTGGCCTTGTATAAAAAGTTCCCCGAATATTATAATTTATATTATTTATATGTCCCACTGCATTACGCCCAAAATAGAAAAGCAGAATTGATGGAATTGACAATGACCCGTCGTCAGTAAGGGTGTCACTTATACAGCACTATGAAAGCATGTAGAACGGATTCTTAGATTTCTTAGAGTTATAAATATAAAAGTTATTTTATATTGAATATGTTGTGAAATAGTTTAGATCGACATAGGTTTAAACAAAAGGTATTATTATATAAAATACATAATCCACTGCACAAAACATGTACTATCAAGGTGTCCTTTTTAATGATATGAATTGTGAGTATATAATTTGCAGATTTTACTTAAATCATTCTAGATTTTACTTACAATAAGGAAATATTCAGCAGTTCAAATATTTCATAAACCCCATATTACTCGTATTGATAGCACCAATTATGGCTCCATTAATATTGCATAAATAGAAATACATGTATAAAAAATGATCATGTACATTAACCTGCTCGCACTATGACGACTTGATTAATTATTGAACATCTCCATACAACGTCCGATTTGCAGAGAAAAACAATTTATATATTCACCTAACTGCTCCATAAAATCATAGAGACGAGATATCATTCACGCAAAATCATTATCATCGCGTAAAAAATAAGAACAAGTAAATAATCCCATTATACTCAAATTAACATGGCCTAATAATCACTTTGAATAATTGAACAGTTTCCAAAAATTGATGATCTTCTTCTGTAGCTGACCAGATATTTTATACCCCATCGACAGGACTGGCCTCTTTGCTCTCAGAGAGATAACTTAACGAACTGCACCCTGGGATGCCATTAGAACACTAATGTACCTTTTCATCCCCATTTCCTATCCATTACTTGGCCATGACTAATAAGATAACTGAGGATTTTACGAGAAGGAAAAGTGATTCGAAGACAAAGTTTGATGGACTTCTCTGACGGAAAGATTTTC